ACAAATCGTTTCAAGTATTATGATTATGTAATAAGTAGTTTATTTTTATTAAATCTACTACTAAATTATACTCCATACTTTACAATTAATTTGTACATTTTATAAAAGATTTTATAAAAAAAAGTAATAATTAAAATTTAAAAAATATTATTAGAATACACAGGATATTTATAGAAAAATAGCTTTAAAATTAGGTATTTTTAAATACATTATATGTTTGAAATTATATAAAATTAAATCAAATCGTAATTTGGATATGACAACATTTACTGTTTTGCTTAGCATTTAGAAACTTAAATAAAATATATAGGATGTAAGAATAACACATTTATCAAATAAATAAATCATTTCAACTGGTATTACAAGTGCTTATGAAATATTCAACTAGCTTTGAAAGTGTTTTAAAATGATGTTTGTTAAATTTTTTTATTACTATTCAGAAATAAAAACACACTTATTTAAACTACTATAGGGTAAACAAAATAAAATCAGATAAAAATAAATATTAAAATATTACCTTAAGATTACACTCTTAAAAGTTGATAGAAAAAATCAAATCGATTAACCTGTGTTATTTACTTATTGTACTATATACACAAAATATGTTAACTGAAAGTAATTCAGTACTCATTTGTATGTAGTTGACATTTGTTGTACTTTATAATTCAATAAATAAAATAACACCTATTAATTTATTCAGCCAAAAATATGCAAATAGAAAACATCTTTGATTTAAGATATTCATTAGCTAAGGAAATGCAAACTTTCACTTTATGTATCATAAAAAGTTCATAAAATTCAAAGAGTACATTATATAATATGATTAATTGTTTACAAATAAACAAAAATAAGTATAGAATCTAACCTTTAGATCTGACAAAGTGTTGCAAACATTTTTTACATTGAATATTTAAATATATTGCACACAAATGTTCCCATTTATAATCATAAATTAAAATCAGCAAAATGTTATATATAAGAGACAACACGACACGTAAAAAAAGTTTCTTTGCTTTCATTTCATACTAGAAGATAAGTTTAATGTGAAGTTGAAAACAATTAATTTCCAATTTAATTAGCAAATGACCATTTATTTTGTGCAAAAATTATATTACTAAATGTTTTTATAAAACAGAATTGCCGTAAAATGTCATCAAATATAATAAAGGTATAATTACTTTTAATTTCTTTATTCCTTATTTACTTTATTATAAGACCACTAAGAAGTCAAATATAACTTTAAGTTAATAATATTACTTGACAAATTTTCTAATGTCTTATTATATTGGCTTCAAAATCAAATATACTGTAACTTAATTCAAATAAAAAATAAATATATTAAGAAAGAATTAGTAAAATGAGTATTAAATAAACTTGATATCAAATTAATTTCTACTTAAATTTTGGGCAAACTAAAATGTATAATTATATTAAAATAATATAGTAATTCTTGATGCTGTATATAATATATAGGAATTTATGAATGAAAGTGAATCCATGAGTTCGTATGTGGAAGTAAATGGTTGTCCCATTTGGTATGAAAAGTTTGGTTGGGGACCAAAACCAGTACTTCTAATACCGGGTGGTATTGGTATGTGAAGTATTATAACTTCAGTACTACCCTATACTGTACTTATAATAAGTAATATAAATCAGGCACCGGTAGGACCGACTTCCTGCCACAACTCGAAGAGGAATATGCGCTCGACTTTAATGCGTTCACAATAATAGCGGTGGAGGCGCCGGGATGGGGACGATCCCGACCACCGGTCAGGCAGTTTGGGGTGAATGTATACAATAACGACGCCCAGTGTTTTCACGCAGTTATGGAGGTTTGGTTTATAAAATGTGTACCTCATGTCCCGGATACTTATGACTCGTTTACCACTTGGCCAGAGTTTGGGTTTTCAAAAGTATTCAATAATCGGTTGGTCTGACGGCGCAAAAGTGGCCCTTTTGATGGCCATCAAGTACCCGAAGTGTGTTGAATCAGTTGTGGTGACAGCCATCTCCATATACCTAACGGACAGTGCCATCAGATTTTTTAAGACAACTCAAAACATCGAGAGTTGGAGTAAAGATAGGATTGATTGCTATTTGAGATGTTATGAGACAAAAGCCGAGATCCAGACCCTTTGGACCCGATTCGCGAAATACATTGAATACTATAACCAATACTTTCCCGAAGATATCTATAAAGATAAATACGATTTGATTCGGTGTCCCGTCCTTGTGATGCACGGA